GAAACAAGGCAAATATTTTCCTTTTGTTATCTAAGAATTACTGATTACAGGGTATGTGGCAGCGAATGATCTAGGAAAGAAATCATTCAAGAATTTCATAAGGGGAAACCTTGCTGTGTGACAAATATAATCAAAGCTGTCGAGCAGTAATGCTATGTAATTTTTTAATATTGCGTAAAATTCAAATTGCGATGAAAAAGTTGAAAATGTTAGCCAAGTGATAAGAGGCGACTGTTGGTCTGAATAGCGAAACGATATAAAGCACCAAATTGAGCTCCCTAAATCAAGAAATGAGGGATTAACTTGGTGACCAAGGCTTTGGATGACACTGATAGAGAACTTACTGGAAATGTTTACTAATTAATTTGTTTCACAACGGCCCTTCGGTTGCGGCTCTTATTATTTATTAATGTAACACCATTACAAGCTCCACAAATCTTGAGTTCAGTCTGACTGGCTGGTGATCAGTTCAGACTTGAATAAGCGCAGTAGAAAACGATTCACAGCAAATTTGAATCTCTCAATTGCTACCACAGAGTAAAGTCATTTTGTTTCTCGCTGATGGGGACGATGACTATCTCAGTGGGGTTTCGATGACTTCATGCAAGAAAATGAAAACGGAACAAACTTTGAATCTTAAATACAAAGTCGAAGTTTTTCATGAAGATTGGACTCTTATTTACAAGAACTTGATTTTTAGAGTTTTTTTTTCTCATGTTCAGGGTTTTCTATAATCGTAGCAATCCTCGATAACTAGTTCTTCAGTTTTAGTTGCTTCAAAGGGGGTACATTAATAAATTTAACACATTTAATTAGTTATGGTGATATCCACTTGTTTCCTTGCGATATCACCTGGCTACAAGTTGCACTTGACCGCAACACCTATAAACTTTATTCGCAGATAAAGAGTGGTCGAAATGTTCACAACAAAACACCAAAAATAACATCAGAATATTTGCAAGATAACAGGTCTTTGATGTGTGCCAGAATAACAGAAAAACAAAAAAGTGAGGCAAAACACCAACTTAAGTAGCCTCTTTTTCCACGAGATACATTTAATTTTATTGTGTAAAAAAGCGAATAAGTGAGAATTTAGGTAACACGCTATTTTACAGCCCCGAGATTTTTTCCCTGGAAGAATTAACTTTGATTGGCTTTATGAGATCCATGCAGATGTTTCATAATTGAAGAAATTTGATTGTTAATCATTGGGTGGAATGATTCCCTAAACAATTTACTTCGTAGTCACATTATTACTTCATGATGGAAAATTAAGCTGAGCTTTGTAGCACCAGGGTTAAACATCTTCTGAAAGCGGTGAACTCATATCTTAATTTGCGCAAATAGGTAAATCAATGTAATGTAAAAAAGTAGAAAATTTCACATGTAAATATATGAGATATATACATAAAACTGAATCAAAATGTTTTGCTTCGTTTAATTATTACCAAAATTACTGTGAACATTAACATGAAACACTAAGAAGTAATTTACCTCTGATTTCTACCTTGCGGAAAAGAATTTTAAAGTTCTTCAAACCTTAGTGGAAATTGTCACACATTTCACAATGTTAATGGTGCTTAAAATATCCATTTAAAATTTCCCCTCAAAGTTTTCCGTTTCTCTTTTCTCCGTTTCTCGTTATAGAGTAAGCTTGACATAGAACGTTCTGAACAATTTTGTAAATTTTGTGCTTTTTCGGCCACTTGCAAACTTCAAGTTTGCCAACTATGCACTACCTGTATAGAAACTAAACCGGGAATTACCTATGCATGAGGCAACCACCTTTTTTGATGATGTAACGTTAGTTCACCTGTTTTGACTGACACACGATACTTGTCAGCAAAACATCCTGGCAGCAATGCAAAAATGAAATACTCCAGGAGACTCCCTGCCATTATCAAAATTTCACTAACATTTAATTCTTTTTTTACTACTGTCGGTTGTTAAAATGCCGGGTGACTGTCCTTTGGTTAGCTTCATGAACTAAACAACGCGAACTAATACGAGCAGAAGTCGCTTTTTTCGCCCTTTTTTTGTTTTGCCGGGTAGTTGTAAGGTAACCAGATATTGTTTATCTTTTCACACGCCATTGATTAAAGAAACGATTGACACGGAGGAGTCAAGCTGACATATAATTAGCTTGAAACCTGCTTGCAGCTTTCAAACAGGATGCAATTTCGTGTTCCTGAAAAAAAACAGTCTCTCGTTTTTCAAGATAGATAAACACAATATCCATGTAATGTATTTACGCTGCTTTAATGAAAGTAGAAATTACCCAGAATTAACCGGCGAGTGGTGACAGATTCCAGCTTTTTGCTTTCACATTTGTTATTGTGTAACCATTGACGCTGTTTACGTTTAATCGCCCGCCAACAGTGAGTAGAACAATATTTTACCTTACCTCGTCATGAGGTCCTAAGCCACATTATCAATTCTTTCGAAAGAAGCAATGAATCTTTTCATATGGGAGATGAAGGTTTGATTCTTTTTCACTTTTTTAAATTATGTTTCCGGAGAATTTTAGGTTTGCTTTAGTAACATTGGTCATTTTATCTCGCAGGTAGTTTTCCTCTGTGCCGTTTGGCTAGAGCTTCAGAGCTTGGTGCAAGGTAAGCTAATCTAAGTAGTTATAATGATTTTTAAAGCTACAAACAGAGAAACAGTCAAACTGAGTGCCAGATTAACTCCGGAAAAAAGTGGCCTTTACAAAACGATGTTTTAGATTTTACGTGGCTGTGAAAGTGTACACGAACCGAGTCTCATCCTCCCCGTTCTTCCTAAATCTAGAGGCCACCTGAGTTTAGAATCAGGCGAAGTCGTTTATTTCTCAAAGGCCGTGTCGTAACAATCTTGCTCGCTCAAGGGTTATTGGAAATCTATTTTTTTTCTAAAACTTCTATTTTGCTCTGCGCCATTTTTATGTTCAGTTTAAGAATCAGCATTAATGAAATTATGCCATTAGAAACGCGGACGTTATTTGTAAATCTTTCCAATTTTCTCTGTGGCACGGTCCCTCTTGAACGCTAAGTGATGATTAAAGTACTTCTCCTTCATAAGCATGTATCAATAGAATACGTCAAGTTATTTGTAAAATCAAATAGCTTTTAGAGTGGAAACGACTCTTATCCGGGCAACTCGAGACTTCTTGCCCGCGAGTCCAAGAGGATAGTCATTAGCTTGACGCCTGCTAAACGAACACGGAAATGTCATCCCAGAAGACTGCATTGACGGTTTAACATCTTTTAATGTGAACTGAGCAAACAACTACGTGAAAGAAAAAGAATTCATTAAGATTGTGGCAAGCAGATACGAACTAGGGACTACCAGCCAAACTGCTGTTATTCCATTTAGTAATCAAGCTACCAACGAAGTACCGCTGGGCTCGAAGAACACAGCGTTATCGTTCGCCACTGCAGTGGATAATATCCCGTATGATGCAAAGTACACCCGCATTGACCTTGCACTTCGCCTTGCCTATGATGAATATCTTTCATCAGAAGACTCGAACGAAACACAGAAACTAGTGATATTGTTGACTGATGGAAAACAAAGTCAATTTAATGGTATGACTCCACCTTACATTCCAATAGAGGATACGGTACAGCTCCTTCGTTCCAAAGCAGCTCGTATCTTTGCTGTTACTATTGGGAGTAATATTGACATGGCAGCAATGAGGGCTGTTACTGAAGAAGACGACGACATATTTCAAGCAACAGAGTTCAATGATTTGGTAGCGAAAGCCGACTCGATATCGAAGACATCATGCATTGACGCTCGTGAGCTGATTCTTTTCATATACTGTGCAAGTAATTAAGGAATTACGAATTAAGGTTGTTTTTTTACTTGCGATATGAAAGTACCCATGAGCATAAGCATAACAAAATTAACAACGGCAGCGATTTAAACATAAGAGCAGGGATATGTACATGAAGAGCAAGCACATCTATTTTTCTAGTTTTGCTGTCCATATAAAGCATAACAGGAATGGAATTCATTTGTATTTCATTATCTTGCTTACGTGGCGCTTATTCCTAAGTTAGTGGAATAACACAACATACCAAAATGAGTATTCTGTCTTTTGCATTTTTTTGTCTTCCCTATGTCGCGTTTATTTCTAAGTTAATGAAATTGTACAACAAACAAAAATGACTAGAACGTTCTTTTCTTGCTTTTGCCGGCATCTAAACTTGGAATCATGGCGCTGCTTTCATCGCTATTCCTTTTTTTTTCTTTGAGAAAAAAAAAAAAACAAACAAACTGCGGCCATTAAGTAACATTTTTTCGCCGTGGAATTGAATACATACCTATTAAGGATTATCATCAAAATTTCATAAATAAATCCTGCGCCAGCAATAACAACGGTAAAGATACACCACAGTATCACTGAGATCTGTCCGGGAGCTTTTACAATAGGCCACTTTGATAGTGAGACCTAGAGGACACAAACAAAAGAAATGAATAAACATGGTCATTCAGTTTCCTTTGTTTGTGTTCTCTAAGCCTCACTGCCAAGCTGAATTTTAGTATATCGAAAACGGTCTATCACACTAGACAACATTGCTTGTGCAGTTTTGAAGAAAGTTATTTGCTTTGGTTTGAATAGGTTGCCGAAGGAATACTTTGCTAAAGCTCAAGATTTATATACCGAATAGTTATATATTTCCATTAGCGGCAGCCTGATATAGAATGATAACATTGTGAATGGCTTTCTTTTCTAGTCCAGACCCAAGGAATCGCGTTTTGTAGTAGTGACCCGGAAATGACAAATTGTGAGTTTCCAGCACAGTGCGTGAACACGAGTAGTGGGTTTTCGTGTATATGCAGTGATGGCTACGTTGGTGTTCCACCCCAGTGTGAAGGTGAGTGTTACACTCTAGGAACATACTTGCAGTCGAAAGGATTGGCAGAAAAATTGTACGCAGTTATTTTGGACACCACGTTGATTGTTTTACCGAGATTAAAATTGCTTTTTCGTGTACCTATTGACTTTTTTGCTCTACTCAGAGAAATCGTAATGTTTCCGGAATTTTTATTCCGAAAAGCATAGTAAGAATTTAAGTCTTTAGTCTTCTTGTTATTGCTTACGCTTCTCACTATTTCAGACAAATTTTTGAATTCCTTGCAAAAGCATGGTCGTAGTGTTAGGTGTACGAGGCAATGCTGATATTTTTTTATCGCAGAAACCTGACACTAAGTAAGGAAGCCAATAGCCCAATTTCGCGATATATTAAAATTTAGCCTAACACAATAGACCACAGCACGAGGCTTTTGGGAATAAACCCCACAATCTCTATAGTTATTCCTCAGAGCCTCGTACTGAGGTCTATTGTTTTTTTTTTAATATATCGAAATCGAATCGACTAGATTCCCACCTCGTGGCGCACAAATTTCTCACGTTTTTAAACTTCTGCCCCATACAAACTAAGGAAACTTTAGTATAAATTCTTTTTCTCAAACACTTCTTTTCAATTCCAAGATGTGAATGAATGCTCCAATGGTTCACATGACTGCCATGTCAGTGCCTACTGTATCAACATCCCAGGCTCGTTCAACTGTTCATGCAACCAGTCAGGATACAGATATAATGGCAGCATGTGTATAGGTATGCTACCTTTCCAAATCGTATATAATTTTTCTATCTTTTTTCACGATTAAATTTTATACGTGGGATATCACAGGAGGTGAGATAGATATTTCCTTATCATGTACCACTGAAGACGTTTCTTTGTAGATTTTTCGATCTAGACCTCAAATTCATTACGAAAAAACTATTTTCTTGTGTCTGAACTTCGCTTTTGCTGGTGATGGCCTGCGGGTGGTGCTGAGAAATATCCATAACATCGATCAGGACGAAACCTGTGCAGTACTATATAACTGAACTTCGCCTAGCCACTCGCTACTGGAGACATCCTGTATAAGCAGTCAACCGAGGTGATGAAGCGACCAACCTAGGATTTTTTTGTTTGGCTTTTTACAACTGTTTTTAAAATTTCATATCTCGCTTGATTTGGAAACGCATCGTTTCGAGAAAAATACCGGTATAGCCTCGAATTATGTAACATATCCTAGTTTAATAAGTTGTTTCATTTCTTCCGAGTTAAAATTTTTCCTTAAACGAAACCTATATTCAACGTAATCCGATTTCCAACTTTTTTTTCAGACATAGACGAATGCGCCGAGGGGTCACATGACTGCCACTTATCTGCCCATTGTATCAACACACCGGGTTCGTTCAACTGTTCATGCAACCAGTCGGGATACAATTATAACGGCAACATGTGTGCAGGTATGTTACGTCGTTGTGTGTTACCTTTTAATCTGCACTTCAGGTGTTTATGTAGCCCCGCTATTTGTTTATTAAGATTTAGATTGTTAAACAGTACGGGCCGAGAATTTAAAAGTGAAATATTAAGACACATTCCGCTCAAAGCTGGAGCAATAAGTGCAAACATTATTTACTAAAAATCTACTCATAGCACGATAACTTTTGGAATGCTATTTGAAACAGCTCACTTTAGTTCATTTCTCTAAGTAACCCCGCGATTAAATTCCCAAGCATTCTCGAGAAAGTTAATTTCAAACCTTGTAAGAATGCTTAAAGCGTGTGTTATTGTGTTTTTAACTAACGTGAAACATCTGTTTTTATTGAAATATGGATAACTTCAAGTTCAATTTACCCTCGCGGTGTCAGCTTGAGAGCTTAAGTCACGATGAGTTCTTTTTAACTGTACTGAAAATATTACCATGCCATGAGGTTATTTTGGTAACTTAATTTTTGCCATTATTGCTCGAATGTCCTGCGGAAACCATCCCAATCTCTTTAATTTTATCTTTACATAGACGTCAACGAATGCCAATTTCTAGCAGATGCTTGTCATAAAGACGCCTATTGCCA